ACCTATCTATTGCTGAATTGGCGTTCTTGCTAAAATTCGTCTGTTTGCTCTTCCCTTATATGTTACTGTTAAAATATTATTATTATTATTGTGTGTGTGTGTGTGTGTGTGTCTGTGTGTGTGTGTGTGTGTGTGTGGGGGTATGTGTGTCATAAAATAATAACTAACGATACTTTACTACAAATTTTTATATGCTAATGCGCCTATATATCGAAGCTTTTATATAACAATTTACAGTCTTAATACAAAATATGTGATTCAATATCATAATATCTCTGTTTTTGCAAAAAGTATTCGTACAGAAAAAATATTTAAAAAAAAAAACTTTATTTTTAAAAAATAAATATTATCCAGCGAAAAATGAGTCATCGAATTGATGTCTAATCAATATAAATATGGTGATTTCATCAATTTGACGTCAATTCGACGTTTAATTGATGATCATTTCTTGTTAGATAATTAACAATTTATTCATAAAGAATAAAATAGACTGTATGTTTCTTAAAATTATATATATCAAAAAGATATATTAATTATATAAAATATATCATCTGAAAAATAAGCAAAAATTGTATTGTTGAATGCTCAAAAAATATTCATACAGACCAGAAATTTAGCTTTTAAAATCAAGAATAAATGCGAAGCTCGTTTATGTTAGAACAGAATGTATAAAATTGCTAATTATTATTTATTTTCTATAAATAAGACTTTTTTATAACAAATTTCCTTATACGAATACTTTTTGCTCTCACTGTATGTTTCTAAAAAGAATGTACCTCGATAGTTCCGCATCGACAATGGTGCTATGCGTGGCATTGTCCATGATAAGCGGCAACCACATATCCGTGCCGTCCATTATGCCAGCCGTGCCGAAGGTGTCGAAACTCTGATCTAGCGATTCCATTCGGCCTCGACCTGACCTCGAAGGCCTGCAACATTTACGAGCGGAAGAACGAAATTAAATATTCGACTTGCGTTCCCTTCAAGATGCATTCAAATGACACAGTTTTTTCACCCATCCGTCTTTTCTATCGTACAACCCCAGTCAGCTATTCGATGTAGCGTCCCAGCTGATCTGTAGTGTAGAGTTTTTTCTTTATATATTATATACAAAGTTGATAGTAACTAGTTAAAACGTTAAAAGTTAAAAAAAAAGTTAAAAGGTTAATAACTTCTAACTTAGTTAATTTTAACTTAACTAAGTTACTTTTAAACGTTAACTTTTTAACTTTTGTTTAAGTTAAAAAATTTTTTTATCTCTTTTAAATATCTTAGAAAAATAATAAGATATAATAAGACTAAGGGAGTATATTCGTAATCTGTTCATATTTTAAGATCATCTTAAATAATTACTTAAGATGCTAATACAGCCCTCTGATTGGTTTTTACAGTTATACCTTATGCCATAAGTCTTAGTCCGGATCTACAATAGGTATTTTAAGCCTTAAGTCATAAGAAATTAATCAATTACAGTCAAATATTCTTCTCGCATATTCGATTGTAATTGGTCAATTTTTTATGACTTATTAAAAAGTAATCATTGATCTTGTATCTTCTCTATATGCTGGCTTTTTTTAAAGTTATATAACTTATATAGTTATATCGTTATATCACATATGAATAAAAAAATTAAAAATTTAATTTACTTAATAATCTATATTGTAATTATTTAATCTCATTTTAAGAAAAATTAGAATATTTTGATCTTAAAAATAATTTTTTTCAAAATTAATTCTTTTTAATTTAAATTAATTCAATATTGATTTAACTTATGTTAAGTTAATTTTTTATTCCTTCAACTTTTAACTTAACTTTATTAATTTTGTAAAGCCATTAACTTTAATTTTATTCAGTTAAAAAAAACATTAACTTACCCAACCTTGATTATATATTATCTTTTTATGCAATAGAGTTAAATAGAGGATATAAATGCAGAACTTTTAATGAGTTTAATAAAAAAAGACTTAATTGCAATATAGAATAAGACGTTGGATGTTCATAAAAATGAGAATTATATTATTAAAAAATCTGCATGAAGGAAGATATTGATATTTGAAAATAATTAAACATTTTTAATTTATCTCTCCTCACACGAAAAAAAAACGCATAAAAGTCTAATACAATTCTAAACGAAATCTTTGTTTCATCACAATTGTATATGTATCCAATATTTTCTGTATGTTTTTTTGATAATTATGGCGAGAGTGTTAATAAATAATGAGAAACGTATTCACACATTTAGTGAAAAAGCTGATAGAACAATGAAAGAAAAATTTATTGGGTGACGAGAGAATGGATATACGAAGTTACAGAATCGTCTGAATACGGCATAATGCATGACTAAAGCGAATGACTAATAGTAATGTCTCGTAATTTAATAAAACACGTGCACTTTAGCGAAAACAACAAGATTGGAATATCTTAAACTTAGATCGATACCTCATTATCTACTAAATATTAATATTATTATTTATGGTCTTCGTGATCAGTAATGATTAGCATGCCAGAGAACACAATTGCGACATTATGGAGGTGCATAAAAGAGACATTTCCAGGAATTCCCACGAAGAGGAAACCACGATCTAAAATTCCGGCACGACACGACGCACTTGTTCGAAGTGATCTGACGCAAAACGGATGTAACACGATGCATTTATTTCAAAACTGTTTTCTAAAATGCAACAGAGAAATGTGTGGCACTAGATTAATCATTTGTTTTATTGTAATTCAAGAAGATTCATAAGAGCATAAAATTCCAAAATTCTTTAAAATATTTAAGTATTTATGTATTTATGTATTTTAAATATTTATCGAATTAATATATTTTTATAAGATTTATTAATAAAAGATTTATTAATAAAAAGTAAAACTCATTGAAAACTGTAATAATTTTCTAAATAAAAATATAATTATTATCAGTAATTAAAAAGGATTAACTTAATAATGTGACATATATTTATATATTTATACTATATTTATATATTTATACGCAGCGTATACATTTCTGTATTCTTCCTTCTTGTTTTATTTCAATAAACCGCATTTCCTGTTCCGAACGAATATGTATGTCATATTTATTCCTAAAGATACTGAAGACTCTAAGTGAGCGAATCGCAAAAATGATTGTCTGAAGACGTGTAGGATGTCTGACATTTATGCAAATTCCGCGCGTGCGATTCTGCGCATTAAAATAATTCTCCGACGTAGACAACGGTTGGAGAACAATCTTACGTTTGGAAAGACACGTCATAAGAATTTATTGTTATTTATGGGTTCATGACGAAGGGCGCCATCGACGGAAATGGGCCATCCGAAGAATTTATGAAGGACAATGCGAGACTCTCACAATGAACGACATCACTATAATTCTCTATTTTTCATGTATCAATATCACTCTGATTTGTCCGAGAATATTTCACACTTAATTAAAAATTAAGTTAATTATTTCATTAATACTCTAAATTATTAAAATTAATTCCAGATTTCAATAATTATAATCTCATCAATCTATTTCTTGCTGTGATTATATTTGCCTCGAGCTATGTTTTTCTTCGATAATTACAATCATTAATGATCGCTAGGAGGAAGTTTGTTAAATATTTTCTTTTTAATTACAAACGAATACTAATTAAAATGGAACACGTTTCCTACTTGAACAATACAGCTGGTCGGTCTGTGTTAAAATGTTTTACGTCATCTTTCACGCATTCGAATTCACATAGCGATTAGTACATTTAAGAATCTATAAGTCGTGCGATTTATCTTTCTTATTCTGACGGTCTGCGACCGTTTGATCGCAGCCACGCTAAGTAACTAGGTTTACTAATGACTGCGGGTCACCGATGCATGAGTCATTTATGTTATTGAAACATGTATAATAGCTCGTTATTATAAACTCGTGCAATAGGCACGTACCAATTTTATCAATTTGAATAATTACTTTTAAATATTGATATTGTTATGCTATATTTCTTCAAATTATCTATCTAAATTAATTTCATATTATTTATAAATGTATTTTATTAATTAAATGTAAAAAAATAATTAATATAATTATATAATTTTAAGTTTTTATATTGTAATTCCATTATAATATAAGTATATTATAATTTCAAGACATTTACAATAAATTTACGAAAAATCATCTATAGATTTAAAAAATATGTACATTCTCACTTACTTAATTTAGAAATCGTGATGGGAGACCCGCGAATAATTCCTTTATCGATAAGCGATTATGATCTATGTGTAAACGCATAGTTGCGAAGGGTGCGTTAGATTTGGTAAACTGGGGTCAAGCCGCGGTGCATTAACCCCGATTGAGCTTAATTAAGGGAAATTAACGGACACCCGGTACTAGGCGTCCCCTCGCGACAAAAAAAAACGATGAAAGCCACGGAAGACATGGGAACGCATTAACGCGTCGCGCCTCGTTTTATATATTTTGTCAAGATATTTAATATTATCATAACCGCACTAAATTATTATCAGAAGAAACTTTCAAGGAAATGTTGAAAATGTGAAAAAATTGACAATTAAAACAAAAAAAGATCAAATCTAACGAGAGAAATTAATTTAAAAAATTAAAATATTAAATTTAAAAGAAATTTTTTTAAACCTTTTTTTAAATTTGTAAAACCTTCGTTTATATCAAGATAAAGTTGCTATCATATGATGCGATATGATGCACGTTTAAATAACATAAGTGGAAAATTTATTGGTAATTACTGGTGATTTTTATTAGAATTGTATAACATTAAAGGTTCATTAATTTTTTTATTAGTACAAAAGATATAATTTTATCAGGCAGAATCGTATCATCGTATAGTTGAATAGTCTGATCGGATGGCAAATATAAGACTTGGAAGTAGGTCCGTATTTGATTTTGTTATCATTTACGCAATAAGTTTGATTCGATAAACAAGACTTAATCGGACCGTCGTTGACAGAGGAAGACGGCATAAAACCGCGAATTATTTTTTGTTCCGTAGAAGTCCTCAGCGAATTGACGTCACTGAATGATTTCCGTGTTAATCATACGGCGAACGGCAATGAATGAGTCAAGTTGAGTCATGGTGAAAGTACATAGATCGAGTTGATGCGAATCGTCGATGCATCGTCGATCCGCGTCTCGTTGCACCTCCGCCGATTAGAGGTGCGTTTAAACCTTGCACGCGGATTTACGTTTATCAGAGGATTATATCAGCTACTCGTGTAATACTCGGATCGGAACTCGTCGATTTACCTCCTCCGATATAAATTAACATCGAATAACATGTCAATATCATCACCTTGAAACACTTATTCACAGCTTTATCCATTGAAGAGGATATTTAATATTAAACAAACCGCACCTATACAAAATTATTAATAATTATCTATTGAATAATTATTTATTATTAATAATTATCTATTGAAATTAGACCGATAAGAATAAATAAACCGATAAGAAAAAATAAAAATAAGTAATAATGTAGATTATTATGTGATGTTTATTGTGTTTACAAAATGCTTTTTACGTTTTTTTGTTTTAACGATATAATCTGTGATCTCGAGGTATAAATGAATAAATATCGAATGTGCGAAAAGATATATGCACACGGATTGAGTGCAGGATTGTTGAAAGTCAATCGAGTCGCGACAACTCTCGCCCACGAGATCACCACGTGGTGTGGATGTCAAATGTCTGCACGTACGACACAAAACATGTGTCGTGCTATTCATACTGTACGTTTAGCGCCAAATATGTTATACTTCGGGTGACATTAAAATATCCACGCTGATTAATTTAAAACGTAATGTTTTCTTATAATTATTATTTTTTACATGAATATATTTACAAAGATTTTTAATTTATTTAAACAAATTTATATGTATATTCACCAAATGTGGAAAAACGAGTGATAATGATCTATGAAGATTGTAAGATTTTTAAAAATCTACAATATTTCTGAAATATTAATTATTATTTATGAAATATTAATCATCTTCGAAATTTGAATAATTTATGTTTAATAAGTATTCGTATACTCATTTATAGTTGTATGAAGATCCATTTTCGTATTAACTTTCGGATCCAGCTAATTGAATGCTACACCATGCGTCATAATTCTCTCCACGTCACGTTTCTAAATTGCCCCTCGGGACCATCAACTCGCCACGCTTTTTTGCCCTGTTCTCGGCAATGGTCCCACAAGATCGCAGACCAACACCGCCCTTGAGATCGGGAGGACTCACGCGAGTGAAAACCATGATTACAATCAAGTGGAATAACATTTTTTCAAAGAATCAGTTAATCGAATATGCGAGCAATTATCTATAATCTTACTTCATCTTCTTTTAAGTTGAGACTTTGTGGAAATCGGTTTCATGAAATGTGACTTCATGACTTTAATCATTAATTAAATTAGTATAAATTGATATTCTGTACAAGTTAAGAAAGAGAAGAATATAGATAATAAATTAGAATATATTTCGTACATCACTTACCGTTCGTTAGCTATTCTTATCTTGAACCAGCCATAAGTTTGTCATCGAACTAGGTAATCAAAGAGTGAGAGAGAAATCTCTTGACTTTTATTGACTGAAGAATATGACAGGAATTTTCAATTCAACAACAGCCTTCCTCTTCAGTTCGTCCTCGCCTCTGTCCTCATAAGAGACGATTAAAAGTCACTTCATGATATGTTAGACTAAGAATTGATTATAGTTTCAAGACATGCAATAATTTTCCTTTCAGTCGTCAGTCTTCTTTGATAGTTGACTAGTACAAATTTGATTTGATATTAATTATCTTGTCGATCCAATATTAATCGAATATTTTCTTCTCCGTTCTATTATATAATTGTTTTTCTTCAATGGAACTTCACTTCGTTAAATTTTCACAGAGTCCACTTGATGTTCTTTTCTTCGGAAGCAAGCTGATTCCATTTGTTATCATTCGCAGGAGTTCGCACTTGTTCCAGTTAAAATAGATTTTATTCGAAATTTTATTTTTCACTATCTTGGAATGTTTACTTCTTTATTGAATAATATCTTCGGTTTCGCTCGTTGTAATCCGGAGGACTCGCGAATTCGATTGCGCGCAATCGATTCTTCGGGGACCGGGCCAACTCGGGGACCACCGGTGTGAACCACCGGTGTTGCTCGGGCACCGTGTATGCGTCAGCGTCACCGTGAATGGACTGCTGCTTACCCAGCATTCCGTCAGATTGTACACACGCTAGATACGGGCCCCGCGAGTAGGGCGACCGCAGGAGGAGGAAGAAAAGATGTGGCAGAGGAGAGGGAGTTGCGGGGGAGCGGCACGGTATGATCTTGATGACGAACACAGCGGTGTGTGCGATGGCACATCTGCACCCAAGATCCGGCAAAGGGAGAAGGAGGAGATCCAGTTGACCCTTTCGCTGTGACACACAGCGGCCTGCTTCTTTTTAAATTGCACAGAATCAACGGAATGTGCTGCAATTGCGATTTAATAAAGAATTAATGTATAAAAATTTAATTTTTAAATTTAAAAATTTATTTTATAATTGTGAATATAAATAAA